ATCGGGTTGCACGCCGCAACAGACTTGATTAAAAATGAATATATTGGAGGAGCGGGTTGCACGTCGCAACAGAACTGAATGTTAATATATTGTGAGAGCGGGTTGCACGCTGCAACAGAATTGAATGTGAATATATTGTGAGAGCGGGTTGCACGCTGCAACAGAATTGAATGTGAATATATTGTGAGAGAGGATTGCACGCTGCAGCAGAATTAATGAAAATGATAATTGGTTATGACTGCTGAGTTGCCTTCAATTATTATAAATTAATTATCTGATTTATTTCTATTATTGTTGTTGTTACTAATATTGCGTACAGGATAATGTAAGTGAACCGCCTTAGTCTCGTCACTACTTCGTCGAGGTTAGGCTCAGCAATTACTAGTACATGGGGTCGGTTGTATTGATACTACACTCTGCACTTCTTGTGCAGATTGTGGAGTTGGTCCCAGCGGCGTACCATAGACTTGCTCGGATTTCAGCTATCAAAGGAGATTTGAGGTATAACTGCATGGCGTCCGCAGTTCTGAACTCCCCGTCTATTGTACTTTAGCTGTGTGTTTATTTTCAGACAACTTTATTTTATTCAGACCTTTATTTGTATTTATTCTAGAAGCTCGTGCACTTGTGACACTAATTCTGGGATGGTATTTAGACACTGTTATTATTATAGATTATTCCAAATTGCTTCCGCATTTGCTTCCTTATTATTAATAAATTTAAAAATTATTTTAAAAATGGATAATATTATTCTAACATTGGCTTGCCTAGCAAATGAAATGTTAGGCGCCATCACAGTCCGATGGTGAAAATTTCGGATCGTGACAATTTTCCTTCGTACCAAACACACCATTAGCCGAATAATATTTTCCCATTGTTAATGACATGAATCATGAAACATGGGTGACTCACTAGCTGTGCCTGATAAAATCATGTAGGAGTAAGGTTCTATTTACCGCTCTTTTCTTCCTCAACGAGATTATAATTCGTGAAGACATTAATTTAACGGGCCTAAACAACCTCTATTATTTGCTAAATGGTTTACAAACACCCTCCGTCCATCTATCGGTCCAAAAAAGTATACAACGTTAATTCTATTAACAAAAATACCCTCGCATATAACGGTAGAATTGGTGGGCCTTTCATTTAATGATGTGGCAGATTTTTACTGGGCCACATGGCATTTTCGGCCAAAATCAAACATGGGTCTTATTTCTACCCATTTACTCGATCCCCTTTAAAGAAAGGGAAAATGGCCAAATATACCTCTCTACTTTCATATATTGTCTATATTTAATCTCCGTTATATTATCGGGCCAAACTTACCCCTACTATCAGCAAATTTTTTAAAATACTCCTTGATATGTTAAGTAATCCAAAATCTTCCAAATTTCTTTTATTTAAATCACTTGTTGTTCTTCTTGGTCTACTATTTTTAAAATAATTGGTATTTACCTGCTTTCTGAACTAAAGAAAAAAAACAAGAGAAAAAAATATTAAATAATACAACCGAATAAACAAAGTATAGTAAATTGAAAAATCTAAATTAGGTAGCTTTTCTAAATTCTAAAAGTATTTACAACATCCCAATTTTAATGAATTCGTTGCACCAAATGTATGGAGACTTTGCAAGTATTAGTGATTGAAGTTGAAGTTCCTCAGAGACTTTACATTGTTTACTTCAACTTTGCTTTAATTAAATACCTGCACATTGTGCACTCTTAAGTTAGTCGATCGAACTCTATACTAACCAGGCAATGATAAAATATATTTGAATATACATGTACATACATGATGATCAGCTGCATATAACATACAATACATAGACCCACTAAATTCTACGGTGTGTATATGATTAAAAAATAAATAAAATTCTAAACCGATTTTATTTATTACAAAAAGAGAAATGGGTGCATTGGTAATTAAAAAAAAATATGAATAATTTGTATAGTCTAGTAACTTTAGCATTCACATCAATAGTAATTTTTGAAAATAATGGAGCAAGAAGAACAACAAGCGATTTAAATAAAAAGAATTTGGCAGAATTTGGATTACTTAACAGATCAAGAGGTATTTTTAAGTTTGCTGATTATAGGGGTAAATTTGGCTCGATAGTATAACGGTAGAGGTAAATTTGACCCGATAATATAATGGTAGGGGTAAATTTGGCCCGATAGTATAACGGAGGTTAAATGTAGACAATATATGAAAATAGAGGGGGTATATTTGACCCATTTCCCTTAAAGAAAAAGACTGAAGGCCCGTTTGAAAGGAAAAAATGGTGAAAATGTTTTTGGCCAAAAATATTTTCTAGCACTGGATTTGTGTTTGTTTGATTAAAAAGGTGTTAAATTTTTTTCCACTTGATCAATCCCCATTTTGCATGAACTCCTTTTTCTGTTTTGAATTTTTTTTTGGGACTCACTGTAGCTTAAGAGTGTGCTTGGAAATTTTTGACGGAAAATTCCGTTGGAAAAAAAGAAGAAAAAAAGGAGTAGGCGAGAGTAGATGATTTGTTTTATACACCATTGCACTAGTGCTAAAATGCCCAACACATCAAAATAGTTTAAGAGCGATGGAATTGAATAAAAGTCAAAAGTACTAGTTTTTCATGATACATGAAGGTAAAAAATCAAGCACGCCTAGATCCAAAATTATTGGGTCATCTTTGTTAATTTTACTCTATTTGTTTCATTCCAATACTGGATAATTGTCTTCCAAAGTATACAAGATATCTTTAAATCTCATAATAATTCCTGTTAAAACATGCTTTTTCATAAATATGTTGTCATTGTTGTTAATTGAAGGAAACCGCCATTATTGTGAATTGAAGGAAGCTTCCATTGTTGTTCATGTACGTTTCAAGACTGT